CTATTGGTGGGGAGCTTCACCTGCCGGAAATCGGGTCCAGCGTCCCTTGAGTACACATTGGAGAACATAGCTATAAGAGAACCTTGGATAAGTATCTTTGAACATTTTGACGAGAGCTCCTCACTCAGCTCCCTTGAGTAATAATCATAGTACTGGCTGAGTAATCCTTCCCATCCCAATAATGCCCTTGGAGCAACCCTCTCAATTGAAATTTGAAACTCACTGAAGGGATGAGAAAGTCCAATTGATGTAGCTCAGTGGTTAGAGCACCGGTTGGAAATGCGCATTGTGGTATGAGGTTGTGGGTTCAAAACTCCGCAGCCTCGCGCATGGACACCGGCAAGGCATTAGAATGACGCACGGCTGGACACACACTCCCCTGGGCTGACGCATCGTACTATTACAGACACTGCCTGCACACCACCCAGGGGGTCAAGTCCATGGGTGTTGTATGTTGGTCTGGTCCTCACGTTGGTTGCTGGTTGTTGTTGGCTTTGGTCGCTCTGATGATCTCCCCCAGTTTAGACACTACGCACATTATATCCACTTCCCACGGTAGTACAAGTGGTAGAGCCCTCCAGGTTCATACTGTAGGTCACAAGTTCAAGTCCGATTCCAGACTTTGGGGGGGTCTTGTCTAGATAGACCTGTCTCTACCACATACACACACACACATGAGATACTACCCCAGATAGCACAATCCATACACACATACTATACATACATATATATATATATATATATATAGCTCAAGGTACACACACACATACATGTACTAGTGGAGGTGAGGTAAAAGCACCTCTCACCAGCACTCAGTACTCACTTCGCTGATGCTCCATGGTGGGGAACAACATACAACCATACATAGAGCCCACGGGCACACATCTATGATACAGAGTACATACACATATACACAATCATACATACTTGTAGGAAGGGTTGGGAGGAGGTCACGATCAACTGATAATGATGATAGGCGTTTGATGATAAGTATCCCCCTTAGTATCAGCTAGGTCCGTGGTGGGTAAGTAGAGGGTGTGAGTCGCTGGTTGTTCTGGATCAACTAATGATGATGATAAGTGTTTCAATGACTAAGTACCCCGCTTAAAATCAGCTAGACTGTCTGGGGCAGACTAGCGCTGTGGTGGGCGTGTAGAGGGCATGAGTCACTGGTTGGTCTGGATTAACCGATGATGATGATAGGCGTTATGAGGATTACCTCGCCCAGCTAGGACTGTGGTGGGTGAGTAGAGGGTGTGAGTTACCAGTTGGTCAACTTAGGGGCTAGTAGGAGATTGCTCATCCGAAGTTCCCGTGTGACGAGGCTCGTTCGATTCCGCATCCACCACGGCTGGGTCATGGCTAGCCCTGGTGACTGTCACTGCTGCTCGGTCCAAGTTCCTCTTGATAGGGGTAACGGTCCTGAGTGCTGGTCACACAGAGCTAGGATAGTAGAGATAGGGGGTGCGCTAGGAGTATTGACGTGAGGATGGGATGGGAAGGTAGCCTCGTTCCCTCCGGACGACCATGGCTGACAGCTCCTGGCGATCAAGGTGTGCCTAGTAACCAGCCTCTACAACACCCTGGGCTTAAAAAGAAAAAAAAAAAAAGGGATGAGAAAATAATAGGAGAAACACTCTCTTCACCCTTTTTTCAGGGCGCCAAAAAAACCTATTAACCCTAGCTGTGTTGCTCTTGAAAGGTATTTCCCTACTGAGTTTGCCTTTATATTCCATACCAAGAATTGGGAACAAGGGTTGTCTCGGGAGGAGGAAAAAGATCGGGGAATTCTGATAAAGGATGCATGGGCACTGAAGCCTCTATATTAGTCCAATTACCAAATCTCTCAGCTAGCCCGGAATGAAGAATTGGATACCACAAAATGGTGGGCAGGGCTGATGAATGTGAGAGTGGTGGGGGACAACGATAATGGCTACCATGTATACGAGCCCGCCACACCTATTGTCCGTCTTCCCTTTGATCTTGATGACCAGGAATGGACGGGCCAACAGTCTATGCACATCTGGGATTATACTGGTAAAGAGGGACACAGGATACAAGGCGTCTCACCGGCAACAACAGATTGGAGAGTCAATTGCACACAAATGGGAGTGTGATTCCCCGATGAATCCTCAACTGCTTAACAACTTCCCGTGGGCTAAGTACTCTAAAATAATGCCCACAAGCCTGAGGTCCCTACAATGGCAAATCCCACACCGCTGTCTTCCCACCCAATTGGCTCGTCTCAAGAACGAACCTTGAACAGAAAGGCCTGCTGTCCCCCATCTGCACCTACTGTGGCAGAGCGACACAACCGGCCAGGGCGACACTCGAGCACTGCCTGTTGGCATGCCCGATGGCTGCTAGATATGGAGGTGGTGGGATGCAGCGTTCCATTCACTCACAAACATCCATATCTCGTGGGACCTGGGCCTCATCCTTCTCGGCAAAAATCAACATTTGCTAGCGCAGTGGACTCCCTTGCCACCAACCTCTTCTCGTATATGAGGCTACACGTCCTCATGCAAGCCTGGAGAGCTAGGTGCTCCTTTGAGAGAAAAAAACATCAGTTCGGTCTGCAGCAAGCACAACAAGCGATTGAAGAAAAGATCAGGTCCAACACACAAAGGGCCTGGAAGGCTATGAAACAGGATTATCATGACGAGAGAGACCCCGTTCTCAGGGAGGCTCTGCGACAGTCCTACTGCCAGATGTGGCAGGATCCGCACAAAGCCTTCTCCGAACTACTAGACGACCTCAATATACGATGGAAAACTGGAGGGCAAATGAACCCTCATGGCAAAGGTGACCCCTGGATGACTTTGAAGTCCCATACCTTCCGACCAACTTTCTGCTTATTCCTCAAAACTCTGGCCGCACAATGGCCCTTGCCACCATCCCGCAGTGCCCCCCCCCTCCCTTCTGCAACCCTTGCCATCACCTCCCGCCTCCCCTCCGTCACCCTTGCAGTCCTCCTTCTCCCCCTCCCCCTCCCCCTCGGTCCATTTATCCTTGACCCTTTGCCACCCAGCCATCTCTATCGCAGCTTCAGATGATGGGGACAACGAGACACCCTGAGGCCATTGTGAAGAGCAACCGCTGTAAGGACAAGTGAGAGTCCCAAAGCAAACAGAAACAAATATGGACATCCTGGAATCAGCAGCAACGACATGAAGGGGTAGAAGCCCGGAGCAGGGGTGTGACCTGTACCCAACACGACAGAAGACAATAGAAGAACGTGGCATAGAGCAGTGCCGGTGTGGAGGAAGGAAGACAGGGGAAGCAAGTTAAACACCTGTCGCCATTTTGGATAGATACAAGTCATGCCCCAGCCCAACTACTGAGCTAAAATGGGAATTGCCCCGAAAGGAAACACACAAATACAAGGGTATTGTTGAACTTTTACTTGCTTTTACTCGATTAACTTACCATCACTTGCAATGGAAGAAACTGTATGGTGCCGTGGGCTTTGGGGGTTAGGCTATAAGCCCCTAAAACCCCAGCATACCGAAGTACCATGAGGATTCATGGCAGATCTGGCGCTCAGAGGATGAGTGAAGAGGTACAGAAGGCTCAACTGCAGACTCGGCTACAAATCAAATTTCCATAGCGTGGAACAGTTTCAAGAGAAAGTCTAACAATGTCTAACATTGTTTATCATTGTTTAACTACTCATGTTCCAAAGGGTGGGGGTAGGGGAATGGGAGGTCGTCTGTTTGCCTACATGCACTGGGGATCACTCTTTGGTGATGACACCTGGCCCCATGATTGAAGGGAGATAGCAGCCATGGGACTCGGGTTTACTACCACCTATTTAAGGTTGTCATGTAGGTAACCAACTTAGGCTACTGAGTAGCTGTGCAACCCCACTTGCCTACTGTCCTCCTTCGAGGGTGGGCCATACAGCTAACAGTCGCCATATTCAGATGTTTGTATAAACAAGTAAATACGTTGTTCAGGGACGCTCCCCTTCCTCCCTCTTGGCGGTTGCCGTTGCCGCCAACCCCCTGGCCGCTCTGTCCTCGGCCACCTGGGGCCCGACCATTCTGGCTGGACCGTTGTCCTCCTCCTTGCGGCCTCCCTCCGGCCGCAACAGCAGCGTAGGTTCTCCCCTGGCCTATGCCGCTATTCTCCTCCTCCAGTCCCCACTCGATGTCAGAGTAGGGAACCTCATCAGCACCACCTTCCTCCATTGTCAGAATTAAACTATCTTTGTCCTTGATTTGACCCGAGATGGTGCGTCCCTTCCACGTTTTTCCCTTTGACAGATCTTTGTGCCAGAACGTGGTAATTGGCGACGCTTGGGCGGCAAATGCAACTGCCTCCCGACTAAGTGTATCATAAGTCATGCCCTGCCGATTCTTCTTTTCGAAGAAGTGCCCCTGAATATTTCCAGGCAGGGCACGGTAGAAGAGGTTAAGGAGTTGGGCATCGGTTACTCCATGCCCTGGGACGGCAATCAGTTCGTCCATGGCGGACTTGAGAGCGTGCACACTCTTCCCCTAGCGAGTGTGTATCATTTGGAGTTTGTCAGAGGCTTTGAGCCCCCGCGTCACATCTGAGAATCGCTCTCTGAGCGATTTCAGGAACTCGGAGAGGGGTGTCAGTCTCGAATATGTAACCATATCATTCTCGCAATTTGCAGCGCGGGCAAGCGACCTAACAAAGCTAGTCGCCTCGTCTCGAAGGGCATGGAAGGCCACCAAAACGTGGTCCTCAGGCGTGACTCCCTGCAGGTACAAGTAGGAGTGCACGTTTGCGTCCAAGTTATCGAAATCTTCACCTTTCTTTCCACTGAAGGGTTCGGGAAAACGACCCTTAACTTTCTCACAGCGTGGTGGGGCCGGCTCCTCTTCCTTAGGAGTCGCTAACTTGGCGCCTTCAATGGCGCCGGTGCAGAACTCTCTAGTCTTACTAATTGCATTACGGACTTCAGCCAATAAATACTTCATCATGTCACTCGCAAAATCCTTGAACCCAGCGTGCATTGCATCTATCTTTACTTCTAAGCTGCAGATGTATTGCGCTTGTTCATGATGTGCAGTTAGTAAAGACTCTACGCTTTGGGTAAGGGTATTGAGTTTAGTGGCTATCTCCGTCTCTTCCCCAGCCTGGTCTCTGCCGCTTTCAGGTCCTTCTCTGCCCTGTCCGCCACTTCCAATCGTCTTACCCTCTCTTGGGACAGCCGGTATCTCCATGCTATTTGTTGTTCTTCCTCTTTCGCCTTTCTCCTCACCGGGTCTCTTTCTGCCTCAATTTGCCTCCTTGCTGCTTCTCTCTCTTCTTGGGGTATGGCCATCTCGACCTCCCTGTCTTTCCCCAACTCCAAATGTGCGGCCCACTCTTGTGCAATCCTTGCAATCTCGATTTCTTTGCTTGTGCTAGCTTCCCCTCTCCTTCTCTCCAACGACTCTTCTTCCTCTACTATCTCTTCCCCTTCTTCTTCGTTTTTCTCCACCTCCTCTCGTATAGCCGCCATCTTCTCCTCCTGCTCCCTCTTCAGCTCCTCCTCCATCTGCTTCTTCTTTGCCTCTTGCGCCTCCGGCAGGGCCAACATCTTGGCCTGCTTGATTAACTCTCTTTTCTCCATCTTCTCCTTCCTTTCACGCAGAAGGGCAACAACTCTCTCTTCTTGCTCCTTGCTGTAGCGGGTGGTACTAAACCCAGTTTTGATGGTCACCATGGTGTAAGTGCACAATCAACAACGATTCCGCGCCTCAACACATAGACCGACCAGGTATCTCGTGTCTAGGGGACTTCTATGCACTACTCAGGTTGGACTTACGGTTCTATGACCACATACACAGAACTCTACTGACCTAGACATAAGTGACAGGGAGATAGGGCTAACTGACTTTGGCAGACTTGACGTCAGTAGGTACCAAGGTGAAGGTGCACATCCACGGGGTAAGGGGATAGGCCAGGGATTGAAAGGGTGGTACCGGTAGTCTACTTGCTCCAGCTGGTTCGACGCTCCGGTCAACGGTCTTGGTCAACTCGTCGGTCAACGCTCCTGGTCAATGCTCCGATAAACTCTGGTCAACGTCTGGTCAACGCCTGGTCAACTCTTGATCAACGTTGGTCAACTCCCAGTCAACGTTGGTCAACACTCCCCTGGTCAACCTTTCAACCTCCCGGCTATGGTGGACCTTCTTCGTCAAAACCTTCGTCTTGTTCACCTTGGCTATGGCTGACTTTGTCTCCCTCTTCGTCACTTTCTTCTTCCTTTTTTCTGCGTCTTATCTCTTTCTTCTCACTGATTGTTTTCCTTCCCGAGCTTGGCATCTATGGCTGCCGTCCCCCTGCTCTCTCTCTCTTCCTCTCTCTTGCTGTCGCTCTCTGCCAAGCTCCGGCTATGGCGGCTTCTTCCGTCTTCCTCGCTTGTTGCAGCTCCGCCGGTGTGGACAACGGGAACCTGCTCCGATACCAATGCAATCAGACTCGACTCTGGACCTTGTTCACAATATGCACACTTGAGAACCGATGGCAAACCAAACTCTTCCAACTCAGAAACAACAGTGAACTTGCTCTTAAACTCTATTCAGAACAACTGTACAACTTGCGGCTATGGCCGCCAAACATTATCTCTACCACCAGCCTCACTCTCCCTCACTCTCACATGCATGCACGTACGAGGATCATCCTGAATGTCCACGCTGCACAGCCACTCACACTCTGTACACTCTGTCTACACCAACAGCTGGCCGGCTATAGCCGCTATCGTCTTCCTCCTCCAAGCTATGGCCGCCGGTGTCTCCCTTGCTGGCTCGCTATGGCCGCTGTCTTCTTCACAACCCACTTCTTCTCCGGGCACCTGCAGTCCTCCACGCACAAGATACCAAGGCAGCTCTTCCGCATGGCACACAGGCGAATGAATGAATGGATGGACGCTGCCTCTTTATTTATACTTCCTTGGAGGTACCCGGGCCTGCCTCAAAACGTGTGGGCCTGGGCCAAAACGTGTGGCCCAAGGAAGTTTCCAGACGTTTGGCCTTCTGGGCCAAAACGTGTGAAACCCACAGTGTGCTCCAGAACCTTCCCCACGTGCAGCCCCTACCCCTGGTACTTGCTGACTGGACTGGCGTACAGGGACCTACGACCTTCTAGAGCCTACAGACTTACAGATAGACTCTAGGCCTCAGTAGACTCAGATAGAGATTTCTAGAACATGCCTTCCTAAGCCTAACGGTAACAGACCTAACTCCTAATCTACAGACCTAGGGATCCAGTCCTGTTGTCCGACCTACAGACTAGCCTAGGACGTAGGGCAGGTCTAGGGATCGAATCCTACTCAGGTCACTGGGTCTATCTACAGGTATAGGACAGGTATAGGGATCGAATCTCACTCAGCACACAGGTTCAATTTTATAGGGTTAGGGCACAGGTCCGGGGATTGAATCTCTGTGGCTGCAAAGTCGGGTCAACTGAGTGAAACCATTTCAATGCCCTCATATATCCCAAATGCATCTGCCCGCATTCCCGGACATACCAGGGGGTATGTGGCCGCAAAACCGTCCAAAATTATGAAAAACCTGTGGTGTGATAATGCCTTCAGAATCGTGAATAGATTTGTTGTATTTTGTGTGTTAGATTTTTTTTTTCTTTTCGCGCTGGCATTCACTTTACTAGCCGTGGGGCTCTCAAAAGGGTAAGGTAGGATACAGAGATTAGGGCTGATTATAGGAGAGAACACACCTTGAAAAAACAGCCATTCTTCTTCCCATGTGATAAAAAAACGCTGGCGAACTCCTCTGCTGCACATGCACACACGGGCCATTTTGCAGGCCCGACGTCGTTCAAGCCAAAAACCTGAATTTCGGGCTTTAAGTCTGATATCCAAGGCTTACAGGCCCCGCCGACGGTTCAGCCTGACAGCCCGAGAAAGGACCTACAGACTCCAGCCTGTTTCCCTACAGGGAAACTTCCAGGCTCTTGCCTGGAAGCTTCCTTCTGACAGGGCCTACAGGCCCCAGCTATTTCCCTACAGGGAAACTTCCAGGCTCTTGCCTGGAAGCTTCCTTCTGACAGGGCCTACAGGCCCCAGCCTGTTTCCCTACAGGGAAACTTCNCAGGCTCTTGCCTGGAAGCTTCCTTCTGACAGGGCCTACAGGCCCCAGCTATTTCCCTACAGGGAAACTTCCAGGCTCTTGCCTGGAAGCTTCCTTCTGACAGGGCCTACAGGCCCCAGCCTGTTTCCCTACAGGGAAACTTCCAGGCTCTTGCCTGGAAGCTTCCTTCTGACATAGCCTACAGGCCTCAGCCTGTTTCCCTACAGGGAAACTTCCAGGCTCTTGCCTGGAAGCTTCCGCAGGGTCTAGGCCAGGGAGGCATTGGCAAGAGCGGCCTCCTGCGCATAGGGCATTGGCACGACCAGCCTCCTGCACGGGCCAGCACTATAAAGGACTGGCCCGCCCTACAGGAGGGAGGCAGTCGGCAGTTGTAGTCTTCAGGATTCGGGAGCAGCCCTCTGGAGGGAGCGCTGCGTTACAGTAGTGGTAGCGTTAGCTAGTAGCCTTCGACGCTGGGCGCCATAGCTAGGATAGTGGTAGAGAGAGAGAGAGAGAGCTTGGGCGGAGGCCAGGGGTACCTACCTGCAGCGCCGTTGCTCCAGCTTCGTCTTCAAGGTACCTGCAGCACAGCGCCACATCACAGGTTAGTATCTGGTTCGTAACAGTGAGAGAGAGAGAGTTCTTCTTCYTCTTCTTCTCAGYCCACCATCTCCTTCTCTCCCTCTCAACCCTTGACTTCAYTGCATTTGCAGACTGCGAGAGAAGAGATACCGAGCTTGGTGATATCGGATCCAAGACTCGACTTTTTGGGATTCAGACMTGGCAACGAGGGGTTATTTGGGATCGGTGACAAAGACTTGGTGTTAACGACACTCCCATCTTCCTCCCTCCTTTCGTCTGATCCTTACCTCTTCGTCTATGCATGTCTGGACCYGGCGCTTTCTTCCTGTGTGCASCGCCAGGCTCCTTCACACCTGCTGAGGGGTACGATGCATGTTTGGTCTGAGTTCAACCATCGGTTGGACTAGTTATCAACATTCTAGCAGTCTGTTTCGCTACTTGCTACTACGTGTGTAAGGTCAGTCCTTGTCAGGTCAGTCTTTGTATCTAAGTCTTCCCTGCGCTATTCAGCACTTTTGTATGTATGAGAATGCACATTGTTTGTCGAGATTCTACTCTCACCGCATTGCCCATTTCAGTCCTTTTCGTCATATTGCAGTTCCTCGGTTATTACAAACATCACATATTTGTGCATGTAACGGTTGGTATCGGAGCTTTGCACGTGAGTCAGGACTACCTGATCTGACACGTGTGCGGGGACTAAAGAGTGAGGTAGTCTTTTCCGATTGATTGGGACATACCAGTTAGACCCCAAAATCACGATCTTGACCTTACTACCGAAAATCAAAATTTTTTCTCGGATTTTATTTTTCTCGCTATTCTGTTGTAGGAAAATCGCAATAAGTTTTTCGAAATTTTTTTGCAAAGTTCAAACTTTTCTGCTTTAATTAGTGGCTCCTTACCGAAGTGTGAGTTGGGCGATTATCGCACCCACCCCTCCCCACCTATGTTGTTGCTATCTCTCGCCTTACCGTTTCTGTTTGAATCCGGGTACCCCCTGCGGTGGCATTGGTGAGTTACCACGTCAGCAGGACACGTCAGCAGGCCACGTCAGCAGGACACATCAGCAGAGCTACGTCAGCAGCAAGGGATACCTTATCAGCAGGCCCCGACCGGTCTATGCTGTTGAGATCTCAAACAACAGTCATGGACCAGAGGCTCGGAGAAGCGGACGAGGCCTATCAGGCCCGCATGCTGGCCTGTAGTGCGGAGACTAAGAAACGGGCAGATGACGCTGCAGCAGCAGCGAAGAAGAAGGCGAAAGATGCAGAGCAGGCACGTCTGCTGGCACTTGAGCAACAGCGCCAGCATGACGAGGCAGCAGCAAGGGCTGCCGATGAAGAAAGAATACAGCGTCGTGAGAAGATATTCACTGGAGAGCGGGCGTTACTTACCATGGCAGCGGCATGGCCGACCGAGGCCGAGGATGGCAAGTTGGAGGACAGCGCCAACAAGATAGCGCTCCTCCTCTCGCATCTCACGGATCCCCTGGCCACCTGCATTACACAGTAGGCGGAGATCCTTGGCCTCGACACCTCGCTAGCTCATCTCCAAGACCGCCTTCAGCGGTTGGAGCAGCGACCAGTCGCCGCCGCAGACGCAGACTCTTCCAACACTACCGACCGCCTCAATGCATTGGAGATGGACGTCGGCGCACTCAAGGATGGCGTACAATCACAGCAGACCGCGACACAGCAATTGCAACGGCGGATCTGCACTACCGCCACCACTTCGAGTACAGAACCGCGCGAGACCACTCCAAAGTTCGACGGGCAGGAAATCTTCTGCGACTCAACGAAGACAGATCCTATTCCATGGTTTCGCAAGTTCGAGCTCACGCTGCAGTTGTCCAACGTCAAGGAACACAAGCACCACGCCTACTTGTACTCTCGCTCAGGGGGCGCGTGCCAGGCCTGGTTGGACAACCTCCGGCGACTTGTGCCTACGAGCAGCCCGATGAGATCGGCCTATGTTTCCTACAGACCGTCGCGGTAGCCGACTCTTCCCCCACGGACTTGTCTTCGGACCCCCGTGTGGTGCGCTTGCTGGACGAGTTCGCCGATATCTTCGAGTCACTTACCGGTGTGGTGCCGGATCGGCCGATCTCTCACGAGATCATTCTTGAGGCCGGTGCTGTGCCGCCGAAAGGTTGCATCTATCGAATGAGCGAGGAGGAGCTTGAGGTACTCCGCGCACAACTCGATGATTTGTTGGCCAAAGGCTGGATCCGCCCGAGCAGCTCCCCATATGGAGCACCTGTTCTCTTCGTCAGGAAGAAGAACAAGGATCTACGATTGTGTATCGACTACCGCAAGCTCAACGCGCAAACCATCAAGAATGCGGGGCCTCTGCCTCGCATCGACGATCTTCTCGAGCGACTGGGCGGCGCGAAGTATTTTTCCAAGTTGGATTTGAAATCGGGATATCATCAAATCTCGATCCAGCCGCACGATCGCTACAAGACSGYGTTCAAGACACGRTACGGGCATTTTGAGTGGGTGGTCATGCCTTTTGGCCTCACCAACGCCCCGRCGACGTTCCAGGCGGCGATGACCAACGAGTTCCGTGCAATGTTGGACCGGTTCGTGCTGGTCTACTTAGACGATATTCTCGTCTACAGCCGGTCATTGGAGGATCAGCTGGGGCACCTTCGACGAGTGTTGGAGACGCTCTGCCGCGCCAAGTACAAGGCCAACCGCGACAAGTGTGAATTTGCCCGGCAGGAGCTGGAATACTTGGGCCATTTTGTCAAAGTGGAGGGCATCAGTCCGCTATCGGACAAGATTCAAACCGTCCAGGAGTGGACGGAGCCTCGGAACGTCACGGAAGTTCGCTCGTTCCTTGGTCTTACTGGCTACTATCAGCGCTTCATCAAAGGTTACTCCAAGATCGCGGCCCACTTGAACAAGCTTCAGTGCGAGGATCGTCCGTTTGACTTTGGAGAGGAGGTGCGGGGATCATTCCTCGCTCTCAAAGCCGCGCTATTGTCTGCGGAGGTCTTGCGAATCTACGACCCGCTCGCACCTACGCGTGTCACTACGGATGCGTCAGRATATGGCATTGGTGCAGTCCTCGAGCAACATGATGGTGTGGACTTGCACCCGGTCGAGTACTTCAGCAAGAAAGTGCCCCTCGTGCATTCCATCGACGATGCACGCAAGAAGGAGCTYCTCGCCTTCGTCCACGYGCTCAASCGGTGGCRRCACTTCCTCCTTGGTCGAAGCCAATTTCGCTRGGTAACGGACAACAATCCGTTGGTCTTCTACAAGACCCAGGWCACCGTCAACAGCACCATCGCTCGATGGATGGCTTTCATCGACCAGTTCGACTTCTTTCCCGATCACATTCCTGGGAAGTCGAACCGTTTTGCGGATGCTCTTTCACGGCTCCGGATCATTGTACCGCGGTCTACTCAACTTTCGAGATTGACGAGGACCTGCGGAACAGCTTCATCCGCGGCTACCAAGCCGACCCCGAGTTTCGCGACAAGTACGCGAATTGCTCCTCGCCTAATCCGTCTCCTTCTCACTACCGGATCCAGGAGGGGTACTTGCTTGTCCACACGCGGGGGAAGGACCTTCTTTGCGTACCAAGTGATCCTCACTTGCGTACATGGCTTCTTGGCGAGTTCCACGATGCTCCCGCCACTGGACACTTCGGGGTCAATCGCACGATTGGCCGACTTCGCCAGCGATTTTGGTGGCTTGGCCTTCTCAGCGACGTCACGCGCTATTGCGAGTCTTGCGAGGTTTGCCGACGCTGCAAATCCCGCAACCATCGCCCGTACGGCGAGCTACGACCATTGCCGGTCCCGTTGAGGCGAAGGGAAGCGATTGCCATGGACATTACCGRCCCGTTCCCCAAGCACAAGACCGGAGTGGATGGGATTCTCACGGTGGTCGACCGACTCACCAAGTTCGCCATGTTTTTGCCTTGTCGCTATCATGCCAAGGCACCGGAGTTGGCCGAGGTT